GACGCGCGAACGCTCCCGGCCCCGGCCCGAAGAAGACGTTCCCGACGACCGCGTCCGCGCCGGCCGCGCGACCTCGGCGGCCGCCCCGGCCGACATCCACCGTCTCGACAGCCCGGGACGACCCGCCCGCGCCCCGCCGACGACCGCCAGCCGACCCGGGCCGCGCCGACGACGCCCCGGGCCCGCTTCCGGCTTCGTGCGACCGCCTCGGGGCCGAACGCCCGGCTCGCGGCGTCTGCGACCGGCTCCCGGCGCCCGGATGCGCCTGGCGCGCCGCCCATGGTACCGCCTCGCCGCGGAACGAGTCCGAACGCTGCGAGACCCGGACGCGGGAGCCGCGCGCCCGCTCCGGGCGTCGTTCGACCGCCCCGGGGCCGGCCGCCCGACCCGCGGAGTCTGCGACCGGCTCCGGGCGCTCCGGTGGGCGCGCTGCGCCGCCCATGGTACCGCCTCGCCGCGGAACGCCTCGGACCGCCGCGAGACCCGGACGCGGGAGCCGCGCGCCCGCTCCGGGCCCCGCGTCGACCGCCCCGGGGCGACGCGTCGCGACGACCCTTCGCCCGCGCAATTAACCTACTTTCTCCGAGTTTTAGAGCCCTCCTAAGAGGTAGACGCGCGCGCGGGTCGAGGGCCAAGTCCCTCCGCCGTACATCTTTTAGAGCGGGACGTCTAGGTGACGGCGAGCTTCGCCCAGCGGTCGAGGTGCGAGCCCAAAAAGAACGCGTCCGACGTCGACGCCGCGGCGCGCGGCGACTTGAGCGGGAAGCTGCGGTTCGCGACGACGTGGTTCTTGACCCAGCCGTGGATGTTGTCCGCGAGCAGCACGCGCACGGCGCCGTTCTCCGCGTCGAGGACGAGCGCGCGCCACGGAAACGACGCGCGCAGCGCGAGGAAGCCGTCGTCGTCGATTCGGTGGGCGTTGACCCGGAGCGCCGCCGGGTCGTCGAAGGGCGGCCGGCCCGGGGGGGCCCCGCGCCGCGTCCGTCGCCCGCGCGCCGCGGCGTCCGCCGACGGCGCGACGACGACGTCGTAGCCGCCGGCCGATTCGACGCTCGCGACGCGCAGCAGCGAGAGCCGGTTCACGTAGCGGGCGTTGGACGTCGTCGGCGGCAGGCAGCGCGGCACGCGGAGGTGGTCCGTGACGAGCGTCGCGGCCGCCGCCTCGGTGAGCGACAGCGACTCGATCCGCGGCGCGAAGCCGCCGACGGAGCTGATCGTCGCGGCGCGCCACATGGGCCGCCGCGCCCACTTGCTCGTCGCCTCGAGGTTGACCATGTCCGCCACGGACGTGAGGGACGCGGCGACGCGGAGCTGCACGTCGAGCGGCGCCCCGAGCGCGCTGAAGAACGACGGCGGCCCCGCCGCCGGCGCCGCGTCGTCGGGCGCCTCGTCGTGAAGCGACGCCGCCATGGCCTGCGAGAGCTGCCGCGCCTCGTCCGCGCGCCCGTCGTGCGACAAGGTGCCGCGGTCCGCAGCCGCCGGCGCCAGGGGGTTTGTGTCATCGGAGGCGTACGAGTACCCGGACGCCGCGCTCCACAAACTGTCGGAACGGATGCGCTGGTCCGTCGGCGTCATCGAGGAAGCGCTCGCCGCCGAGTTCTCCCGCGGGCGCGGCTCCGAACGGCGCCACTCCATCCCAGACCGCTCGAGCTCGGCTACCCTCTCTCGAGCTCTAAGGTGACATCTTCAATACATCTGCACCACCAACTCAATATACCCGGCAAGCAATGGAGCCCGCAGTATGACGCCGGCCGTGGCGCGCGGTCCGCGGACGGAGAGTCCGGCAGCGCCGTCGCCAGCGGCACAACAATGGCGGCCGGGGATGCGGCGTCCGAGCGCGCCTCGCGGTGCAAAGCCGGCGTCGCCCACTCCGAAGAAGATGAGCCCTGACAAAGCACCACCACCGAGCCCCGAGCGCGCGGCGGTGGAGCCGCAGGTCGAGCGCGCGGCGAAGAGCGCGACCAAAGGGTGGAGTTGGCGGCGCAAGGGCAGCCCGGCGAATCGAAAGGAGAGCCTCGACTGGTCGTCCACCATCAAGTTCCGGGCCGACGGCGCGGCGACAAAAGCCACCAACGCCGCCAAGAACCAGCAGCCACCAAACACGACGCCTCCGGAAGCGGAGCGGTCCACCGGCGGCTCGTTCTGGGCGAGGAACGGCGCGGCGATCCGCCGCTACACGGCGGAGAAGCGCCAGAAGGCCGCGCTGCTGAAGATCCGGTAGATTCCCGCGTCCCGCGCGACGGCGGACAACACGCGCGTCATTCTAGGCACGCGACGGGCTACGACGACCTCGAGAAGGCCATGAAGCGCGAGCGGCGCGACTTCCACCGCGATCTCTCGCGCACGCCGACGGGTGACGCGTCGATTCCGGCGTCCCACCCCCTACGCGCGCGACACAAACACCACCGCCACGACAGGTCGGCGAAGCTCCAGCGCGACTTCCGCGAGAAGCTGCGGACCATGCTCCTGGCGCACATCGGCGCCATGCGCGAGGAGGGCCTCGTCTTCGAGCACGTCTTCGAGGAGCGGCGCCTGGGCATCCACATCGCGCTCGCGCGCTACGGGGACGAGGGCCGCGAGTTCATCCAGATCGACGGCACGGAGCCCTTCTGCGACCTCTACCCCGGCCCGCTGAAGCCCACGGACGAGCTCATCGCCTACGACGACACGATCATCGTCGAGCCGCGGACGACGTCCTTCGACAAGCTCCGCGACGCCATCGCCCACTCGCCGCGGCCGCTCAAGCTCACGTTCATCGAGGGCGAGCGGCGCGACGAGGCCTTCCGGGAGCAGGAGGAGCGGCGGTCCATGGCGCGGAACGACGTGCGCATCCGCTGCAACCGCGAGGCGCTCGCGGCCGCGCACGCGGCGCAGGTCGTCGCGCACGCCGACGCCCACGGCCGCGTCAACGCGTCCTGCGATGCCGCGCTCCACAGCATCGTCGAGCCCGTGGCGCTGCGCCACGCGGCCGAGCTCCCGGCGGCGCACCACGACGGCCTCCGCCACGAGAGCGTGCGCCGCGCGCGCCGCGCGCGCGACGCGGCGGTCCAGGCCGCGGTCCACGCCGACGAGGCCACGGACCACTGGCTCGCGTCGCGGCTCGTCCTGTCGCTCGACGACGACGACGACGACGACGCGCTCGCGGGCGCGGAGCCGCCCGACGACGACGACGACGTCGACGTCGAGTACGCGGGCGCGCTCCTGCCCGCCGTCGGCGCCGCCGACGACCCGGGCCTCGCGGCCGCGGCCGCGCCCTTCTTCGGCCCGCCGCCGCCGCCGCCCCGGCCGGCGCCGCCGCCGACGTCGCGGCCGCGGTCGCCGCTCCTCGCGCCGCGGAAGGCGCCGTCCGTGGCCAGGGCCGAGCGGGCCGTCGCGCGGCTCGAGCGGGCGCTCGACGACGCCGACGGCGCCCTGGCGACGCCGGCGCGGCGCCGGCCCGCGCCGAGCGTGCCCGTGACGCACTCGGCGACGTGGCAGCGCGTCCTCGAGGCCGCCGCGCCGACGACGCCCCGGACCTGGCAGGCGACGCTCGAGGGCGCGGACCCGGCGCTCGCGCCGCCGCAGTCGCCCTGGTTCGCGGCGCAGGCCGGGCCGGACGTGCCGCCGTCGCCCGAGCCCTGGTCCAAGGCCCTCGGCCTCGCGACGCCCGACGCGCGCGCGCCCGCGGCGCTCGCGCCGCACGAGCGGTCCCAGCTCTTCCCGCCGTCGCCCTTCGCATCCCAGCGCGGCGTCACGCTCACCGCGCTCTCGCCCGTCGAGGACCTCGACGACGTCCGCGCGCGCGCGGCGCGGCCGGGCGACGGCGACGACTCGCCGCCGCCGCCGCCGCCGCCCGCGGTCCGGCCGCCGCCGCCGCCGCCGCCCGTCGCGGCGTCCGCCCCGGCGAGCGCCGCGGCGTCCGCCGCCCCGGCGAAGCCCGCGCGGCAGACCTGCGCCTGCGACGACTGCGCGCAGCTCCGGCTCAAGATCGAGCGCGTCGCCGCGGACGCCGTCTCCGCGGCCGCGGTCGCGCGCATCGCCGCGCGGCACGCCGTCGAGCGGCGGCTCCGCGGCGACCGCCAGCGCGCCGCGGCGGCCAAGGTCCTCGCCTACTTCCACGCGACGGGCGCCGGCTGCCAGCCGGACATGCGCGCGTCGTTCTCCTGGTGCGAGCGGTCCGCGGAGCTCTCCGTCGAGGCCGACGTCGCGGCCGTCGAGATGCACTTCGCGCAGCCCTTCTTCCCGCCCCAGGACCGGGCGTCGCGCCTCAAGCGCATGTCGGCGCAGTTCGCGCACCTGCGCGCCGCGAAGCGTCGCGCGGGCGCCTTCGACGCCGTCGCCGCGATCGGCGTCGAGGAGGACGACGACGACGCGCCCACCTGCGGCGACGGCTTCCGCGCCGCGGCGCCCTCGACGCCGACGAAGATCCGCTACGACGACTCGGGGGACGACTCGGGCGACGACGGCGGGCGCGCGACGCCCCCGCCGGCGCGCGCGGCGCGCGCGCCCGCCGCGTCGAGGGAGCCCGTCACCTACGAGGAGGCGACGGCGTTCGCGCGCATCCGCGTCGAGGAGGACGGCCGCTCGCCCCGGGCCGCCGCCGAGGAGGAGGACGGGCTGCCGGGCCAGTGCCTCCTCCCGTGGTCGTCGCCCTAAGGAAACTCTGTGTCGGCGCGCGACGCTACCTCGCTCGCGCACCAGCTCCACACGAAGCGCCAGTACCGGCACTTCCACGTCAAGTTGCGCGCGGGCGAGTCGTGCTTGGCCTTGGCGTCGCCGTCGCCGCGTTCCGCTCCGTGCCGACCTTCGCGGTCTGGTGCCTCGCGTTCTTGAACGAGATGCCCGCCTGGCGCAAGCCCGACGAGGCCGCCAAGGGGGGCATGGAGAACGACATGAGCGCGATGCTCTAGGCATTCCTACGGCTAAAGGGGTGGGCTCAGCCCCGGGAGAAGATTTTGAGCGATTTTGCCTCGCCATCGTATCGAGGCTCAGACGAGGAGACGATCGCTGCCGCTCAGACGAGGAGACGATCGCCGCCGCGAAGTCACGCAAACGCAGAGTCATGTCGTGGCGGGAGAAGAAGTTGGAGTATGAGAATCGCATGGCCCGAGCGAGGGGCAAAAAACTCGACACTCTCAAGACCTGCACGATCTGCGGCGCCGACAAGGCCAAGGCCTGCAAAGGGTGCGCCACGACGGCCTACTGTTCGACTAACTGCCAACGCATCGACTGGCGCGACCGGGGCCACCGGAAGGTCTGCAAGAAGATCCAGGCCGCGGAGGCGGCGCGGGACGAGGCGCCGACGCCCCCGTCGCCGCCGCGGGACGTGTTCTACGGCCCCGCGCCGCGGTCGCACGCCGACGAGGTCCGCGCGCGCATCGCCGCGGAACACGAGGCCGCTCGTGCCCGGCGCGAGGCGAACCCGGAGCGGGAGCCGCTGTCTGCGCGGTACGGGTCGCGGTGCCCGATCTGCCTCGAGGAGTGGGACGTGAATACTCCGGGCGTGTTTCGCGTCTGTTGCTGCCGAAAGGTCTGCCGATCGTGCGAGGGAAAGATCGAAGCCGCGTGTCCCCTCTGTCGTGTACCGCGCTCAAAGACCAATGCGGAGGAGCTCGCGCGTCTTCGCCGCCATGTAGAGAACGAGGTGCCGGAAGCGATTACGGCTTCGGGAGATGCGTACTGCGAAGGTCGGTTGGGCCTCGTGAAATCCGATAAGAAAGCCGCAAAGATTTACCAGCGCGCCGCGGAGCTCGGCGACGTGGACGCGATGGTATTCCTTGGGGAATTGTACGAGCGTGGAAGTGGCGTCAAGCTGGACAAGAAGAAGGCGATGAAGCTGTATCGTCCGGCCGCGGACCGGGGCCACGCAGACGCGCAGACCCATGTAGGGATTTTACTTGATTCTGAGCAGAAATTTGAAGAGGCGTTCCGGTACTTCGCGCTCGCGGCGGATCAAGGCAAAACCGCTGCAGAGATTCTCCTTGGCTGCTATTTCAGGGACGGAGAAGGCACGGAAGTCGACCTCGGCAAAGCCAGGTACTGGTTCGAGCGCGCCGCTGCCAAGGGCAACGAGTTAGCTGAAGAGGCCCTCGCGGACCTCGACGCGCGAGTATAATAGCCTAAACCATCTTTACGCCGCGTCGTCGCCCGAGCCCGAGATGCTGCGCTTGCGCGCGGGCGAGTCGTGCTTGGCCTCTCCGCGCCGCCGCCGACCTTCGCGGTCTGGTGCCTGGCGTTCCTGAATGCGAAGCCCGAAGGACGACGACGTTTCGAATCTATACGCGGCGCGAAGCGGATCGGAGGGGGACGCGCGGCGATCATAAGGAGTCCTCCATGAAGATGAGTTGGTCGATGAGCGAGGAGAAGTGGACCTTGTCCGGCCCGAGGATCTGCACGAGCCTCGCCTGCGTCTGCTCGTCGGAGTCGTGGAGGCCGCCGAACTGCTCGCCGCCGGCCTCGAGCGCGTCGTCGTCGTCGACGACGTCGTCGTCGGCGTCGTTGGCCGCCTTGAGGAAGGCGTGCGCGGCCTGGAACTGGTCGTAGCCGAGGGCCTTGATGCAGCGCTGCCGGAGGAGCTGGATGCGATCCTGCGGGGAGACGCGGTCGGTCGAAACCACGGGCGGGGACGGCGGGACGCGGCGCGCGCGCGGCGAGGCGGCCCGTCGGCGACGGCGCGTCGGTGAGCTCGTGCTCGGCGCCGCGGGGCGTGAGGTTCGCGGCGATGGGCCCCGGGCGGCTCGCGGACGCCGCGGGCTGGGGCGGCGGGAGCCGCGTCTGGACCGGCACCATGTCCTCGTCGTCCTCCTCGTCCTCCTCGTAGAGGCAGTCGTCGTCCTCCTCCGTGACCTTGCTCCGCCAGGACGCGGCGCCGTCGGGCTCCTCGTCGAGCGGCGGCGGCTGCGCGAAGCGCGCGGACTCGAGCTTGGCCTCGGGCGCGGCGTGCGTCGGCGACTGCAGCTTGACCGTGCCCGTGCGCGTGGCGATGTACTTCTTCGTGTCGTGGAGCGTCTTGCGGAGCTCCTCGCAGCGCTGCGTCGTGAGCTCGAGCTCGGCCTTGAGCTGCTCCTCGCGGCTGCGGATGTCGTCCTCGGCGTCCTCGATCTTGTCCGGGTCGGGCTGGGCCCAGCCGATCTGCTCGCCCTCGTCGTCGTCGCCGTCGTCGTCGTCGCTCTCCGCGAGCGCGAGGTCGACCTCGTCGACGTCGTCGCCGTCGTCGTCGCCGCGGCCGCCGCGCGCGTCGCGGCCGCCCGGCGCGCGCGGCGCGTCGTCGGCGCCGTCGTCGAAGCGGCGCCGCGGCGGCGACCGGTCGGGCTCGTCGTCCTTGGGGCTGCTCTTGGCGTCGCTCAGCGGCGACCGGTCGTCGTCGCGGTACTCGTAGTACTCGGGCGACTCGACGTCGAGCTTGGCCTCGGAGCGGCGCGTCGTCCGGGGCGCGGCGCCGACGGCGGGGTCGAGGGACGACCGGTACATGCCGTGGTGCATGGCCTTGGCCTGCTCGCGGAGCGCCTGCGACTCGGCGCGCGCCTCGTTGAGCAGCGCGACGCGCTCCGCCTCCTTGGCGGCCTGGGCCTCCTGCTTGCGCAGGAGCACGCGCTCGCGGGCGCTGAGGCCCGTCTCGCGGGGCTCCATGGGCTCGGCGACGGCCGGCGCGGGCGCGCGCGGCGACCGCTCGAGGCTCCGCCGCGGCGGCGGCGCGGCGTCGTCGTAGGCCTCGAACGCGGGCTTCGCCTCGGCCTTGGCCGGCGCCCGGTCCCGGGGCCGCCGGTCCGCGGGCTTGCTCTCCGCGGGCCCCGGCCAGGGCGCGACGGCCGCGGAGCGGCGGTCGCCGGGCCGCGCGTCGGCCGCGGCCGCGGCGTGCGCCTTGGCCGCGGCGCCCTCGCGCGCGGCCGCGCGCGCGCGGTCCACGGCGGCCGCCGGGTCGTGGCGGTGGTCGCGGTCTCGGGCCTCGAAGGAGTCGCGGCGGTCGCGGTCGCCGCGCGGCGCCGGGTGGCGCGGGTGCACGTCGATGGCGTCGAGGACGTGCTGCTCGCGCGCGCGCGCGCGCTCGCGTTCGCGCTCGCGCTCGAGCTCGCGCTCGACCTCGCGGCGGCCCTCGTCGCGGCGGCGGATGCGCTCGCGGGGCGTGGAGGGGGTCCTTGTCCTGGCGGAGCCGCGCGACGACCTCGCGCTGCCGCGCGCGCTCGGCCTCGCGCGCGGCTTCGCGCGCGGCCGCGCCGCCGAGGGGCCGCTGGTCGGCGGGCCGCCGGTCGCCGCCGCCCTTGATGGGAACGACCCCGCGCGGGTGGAGCGCGCCGCCGCCGGGCCGCGCGTTCTCGCGGTCCGCGCGCGCGTCGGCCGCGCGGTCCGGCTTGCCGTGGTCGGGCCGCCGCTGGCGCCGGTCGCGCTCCGCGCGCTGCTGCTGGTCCTCCCAGCGCTCGAGGTCCGCGACGCGCTGCGCGTCGTCGTCGCGCCGCGGCGCCGCGGCGCCGCCGCCGCCGCCGGGGACGCGGCGCCGCGGCGGGTCGCGGTCGCGGTCGCGGTCGCGCGCGCCGTGGGCGGGCTCGGACGCGCGCGCGCGGTGGTGCCGCTCCGGCGCGCGGGGGATGCCGTCGTCGGGCCGGCCGACGGCGCTCGCGCGGCGCGCGGCGCCGCGGAGGTTCGCGTCCTGGCGCGGCGGCGGCCGGCCCCAGCCCGGCGGCTTGCGCGCGGCGCCGTTGCGGTGCGGCGGCTTGCGGTGGCGCTCCGCGCGCTTGCGCGCCTCGTCGCGGAGCCGCTCCCGGTCGCGGAGCCGCTCCTCGCGCTCCTTCTTGAGCTTGGCGAGCGCCGTCTCCACGGACCGGCGCCGGTCCTCCTCGCGCCGGAGCGCCGCGGCCTGCTCGCGCGCGGCGCGCTCCGCCTGGGCCGCGTTCAGCGGCGCGTCGCCGCGCTTCGGCGGCTCGAAGGCCGCGGCGATGACGTCGCCCATCTGCAGCGAGTCGAGCTGGCTCCGCAGCGAGCTCACGTCCGCGCTGCCCGCCGCGCGCGCGTGCGCGGCCCGCGCGTCCGCGCCCATGCCCGCGACGGCGTTCGCCGGGTCCGTCACGACGCAGAGCGCCGCGGCCTTGACGGCCATGGTCCCGTCGCCGATCTTGCCCGCGTCGCGGTTCGCGATGTCCGTGAGGAAGTCCTGCGGGCGGGGGCGGGGGGGAGGAGTGGGCGACCGCGCGGCGCGCGTCGCGACGCACCTTGATGTGCTTCTTCACGAAGGGCTTGCGCAGGATGGCCTCGAGCTGGGGCCGCGACGACGGGCTCGTCGACAGCATGCCCGAGACGAGGTCGCGGAGCGACTTGCTGTAGCGGCTCGCGATCGGCGGGTAGCGGCCCTTGATGATCTTGCACGCGAGGCCGTTGAGCGAGTTGGCGTCGAAGGCGTGGTTCAGCGTCGTCATCTCGTAGAGCACGCAGCCGAGGGCCCAGATGTCGGACTTGTACGAGTACGGCTTGTTCTTGAAGATCTCCTGCGGGCGCGTCGCGCGTTCTGCCCGCGCGGCCGCGACGGGGGGCGCGGGCGGCGCGCGGGCGACATGTAGTAGGGCGTGCCGATGCACGTCTGCGCAAAGTCCATGGTCCCCTCGAGGACCTTGCTGATGCCGAGGTCGCCGAGCACGAGCCGGCCGTTGCCCGTGAGGAAGATGTTCTGCGTCTTGAGGTCGCGGTGCAGGACCCGCTGCGCGTGCATGTAGTGCAGGCCGAGCGCCATCTGCACGAACCAGTGCAGGATCTTCGACTCGGCGAAGAGCTTGCGGTTCCGCGCCGCCGTCTTGATCTGCCCCGACAGGTCGCCGCCGTCGCAGAATTGCATGACCTGCGCGTCGCGCGGCGTCGGCGCGCCGGCGCGCGGGCGGGCGGCGCGCCCGGCGCGCGTCCGCCGTCCGGCGCGGGGCGCGCGCGATGCAGAGCGACTCCTTGTTCTTCGCGAGGAACGAGTCGCGGTAGCCGACGATGTTCGGGTGGTTCAGCCGCTTGAGCAGCCCGACCTCCATGCGGCAGGCCTCGCGCTCCTTCTTGGGGATGTTCTTGACCTACGGCGCGGGGGGGCGGGGGCGGGCGTCGCTCCCCGGGCCGCGCGCCGCGCCGCGCTCGCGACGCCGCGGCCGCGCCTTGATGACCTTCACGCAGCAGAGCGCGCGCTCGACCTTGTGCCGCATCAAATAGACCTTGCCGAACGCCCCTTCGCCCAGCACCTTGATCGGCTCCAGGTTCTCCATGGTGCCGCGCGGCGCCGCCGCCCCGCACCAGTTGGAGGCAGCCCAAGTGCCGGGCCGAGACCCTGAGCAGTGCGCGGGCTGGGTGAACGGCAACGACAACTGCAATGAGTACATCTCTCTCGGGAGTTTCTCTCGGGCAGCGCTCTCGCGCTGCCTCAGAAACCTCGACGCCGTCGGCGCCGGCGCGCGGTCCGGTCGACGCGCCGCGGGCATCGGCGGGGTCCGCGGACCCGCGGGCGCGGAGCTCGAGCCACGGGCAGCCGGCCGGCGCGCGCCGAGCGCCGCACGCGCGGCCCGCGACGCGAGGCGCTGCCCCGACTGGCGCCATGGACCGGTCGTCGGCGAACATGCGGGCGCAGGACATCGTGAGCAACATCCTCGAGCGGCGGCGGAAGGACAAGGAGCGCGAGCGGGCCCGCATGCGCAAGGCGCCGAAGAGCAAGAAGCCCGACATGCGCGCCAAGTTCCGCACGGCGGACCTGCTGTACCACGACGGCGCCGCCGCGCCCGACGAGGACGACGACGCGGTCTCCGTGGCGTCGGTGGCGAGCTTCGGCTCGACGCAGAGCCTGCCGGCGATCTTCCGGACGACCTTCCTGGAGCAGCCCCAGGACGAGCGGCGCGCGAAGAAGAAGCTGACGACGCGGTCCGTGCCGCGGGGCCACGACAGCGAGCGGCCCTACTGCGCGTCCTGCGAGTTCGAGGACTGCCGGCACTGCAACTTCTGCCTCTGCAGCAAGGTGAGCAAGACGCACCGCATGCCCCTCGAGCGCTTCGCGCGGCTCCTGCTCATGCTGCACCCGGCGATCTCGCCGCAGGAGATGGGCCGGGAGATCGCGCGCTACGCGCGGAGCGACTCCATCGCGAAGAAGCTCAACGGCGAGCTCGGCTGGAGCCCCGGCACGAAGCTCTTCTGCGACGAGCACGCGCGCGAGCGCGTCGCCTACGAGGAGAGCGAGCAGTCCGCGGCGCTCGACTCGCTCCACGGCGAGCTCGTCTCCGAGCGCAAGCGCCTCAAGGAGGCCCACGCGGAGGTCGAGCGCCTCAAGGCCGCGGTCCTCGTCGGGCACCTCGACGACGACAAGGAGCACGAGCGCTGCAAGTTCCTCGTCTCCGAGGTCGAGCGCATGCGGGGCCAGGTCCACGAGCGCGACGAGCTCGTCAAGGTCCTCCGGGACCAGCTCGACGAGATCCTGACGGCCAAGGACCTCGAGGAGCGCGGCACGCAGACGACCATCGTCCGCCACCGCGGCGCCATGTCGCAGACGACTCTGACCGGCGACGTCGAGGCGTCCGCGGGCGACGACGGCGACGGCGGCGGCGGCGGCGAGGGCCTCGGCGACGGCCGGCGGCGGACGACGCTGCGCCGGTCCATGGCGCGGCGCCGGACGCGGGCCGAGGCGCCCCTGGGCAACGCGGGCCCCGTGTCCCAGCTCCTCGAGGCCATCTACGACGTCCACGAGAAGAAGCTCCTCGCGGACGCGGAGGCCGCGACGAGCGGCCGCGTTCCCGCGAGCCTCGACGAGTTCGTCCGCGGCTACTGGCGCGACAAGTTCCGCCACCGCAAGGCGGCGAACAAGCGCATGGCCTGGATGTTCACGGCGATCCGCGAGCACATGATGCACAACCGCCACGTCCGCATCGTCGGCTGGGTCCTGGGCATGGACCTCACGTTCATCATGCAGAAGGAGTACCACTACGGGCCCATGATCTCCCGCATGTTCTACAGCTTCCTCGCCGCCGTCGTCGAGCAGGACCCGTCCCTCGTGAAGCGCACCTTCGACGCGGACGGCAAGCCCGCGTCGAAGCCGCTCGCGTTCATGCTCGACTGCCTCATCGGCCTCGGCCGCGAGGGCGTCGAGCGCGACAAGCCCGGGACCTGGAAGTCGCACCAGCTCAAGCTCATGATGCGCGACACGCACCTCGAGGCCATGCTCGCGCGCATCGAGGCCGCGGCCGACGCCGACGGCCTCGTCGACCTCGACTTCGTCTTCCACGCGCTCATGGAGAGCTACAACGACGCCATCTTCGCGCACAAGACGCAGCTCACCAAGGCCTTCTACCGCTTCGACACGGGCACGGAGGGCATGACCAAAGAGGAGTTCATCGAGCTCCTCCGCTTCGTCCTCGGCCAAAACCGCATCAAGCAGATGTCGGACGAGGAGCTCGACGAGATCTACCACCGCGTCGAGGACATCGCCGACGACGACGAGGAGTGCATGCAGATCGACGACGGCGAGAGCTTCGCCTCCGCCGTGCTCATCTGCGACTTCGAGCTCTCCCTGCCGAAGTTCTGCCGCGCGCACTGGTCCCTCCCGGACGACAGCGACGACAACCGACACGCGCCGCTCATGGCCCGCGACGAGGCCGACGCGTCCGGGTCCCTCGCCGACGTCGCCTCGGACATCGTCGTGCGGACGTCCTTCGCCATGACCGGCGACGCGTCGTCATAAAACTTGAAGGCCTATCGAACGGCAAGCTCGACTCGGTGAATTGCGAAGCGGCGCGATGTCGAGCGAGATGATCGAGGACCTCCTCGAGCAAGCCGAGGCGCGGCGGTGCGTCGGCGACAGCGCGGGATCGTGCCGCCTCCTTCGCGCCTGTTTTTCCGCCGCATCGGACGACGTCGCGCGCGGCAGGACGTCGACGCGGGCGCTCGCGCTGCGGGCCGTCGCCGCGTATCAGCTCGGCAGCTTGTTGCTGCAGGCAGCGGCGACGGCGAAGGAGGGCGAGAGGCTCATGTGGCGCCTCGGGTTCCACCTGCGCCTCGCGGACGACGTGCTGATGTACGATCGCTTCCTCGCGGCGACCGAGCGCGGCGCGGACGACGTCGGCGCGGGCGCGGGCGAGACGGAGTTCTCCGCGCCGCGCTTCGTCGACGGCGCGCTCGCGACGACGGCGCTCGCGACGATGAACCGCATCTTCGGCCGCGACGCGCCGTTCTGGGCGCACCACGAGTACCCGACGACCGATTTCTTCAGCTACAACGTGCCGCTGGACTCGCCGAGCGCGCTGGGCGCGCTCCTGCGGGCGCTGCGGCCGCACGCGGCCGCGTCGGTGCCCGCGGCGGCGGCGGCCACGTCCGGCGAGGTCTGGGCGCACGCGCGCGAGCGCGACGGCGCGCACCAGCTGCACTACGACCTCGACGAGGCCGAGCTCCGCGCGTCGGGCGGGGTCCGGTCGCCCGTCGCGTCGAGCGTCTTCTACCTGGAGACCATCGCCGACGACGACGGCGGCGCGCCGACGCTCGTCGTCGACCGCGTCCTCCGGCGGGGCGACGCGCGCGACGCGTCCGACGGCGCGGGCGGCTGGCTCTGCGCGCCGCGCGAGAACCGGCTCCTCACCTTCGACGGCCGCCTCCTGCACTGCGTCGTGCCGACCATCGCGCGCCCGGCGCCGGAGGAGCGGCGCCGCATCACGGTCATGGTCGGCTGGTGGGCCGACGGCGTCAGGCTCGGCGACGCGGGCCGACCCGGGCCGAACGCGCCGCTCCCGCCGGACGCGCCGTGGCTGCCCCGCCGGGCCGCCGACGTGCCCTCGCCGCCCGCCGGCGAGGCGCAGCGCTGCGCCGCCGTCGCGCGCGTCTGGCAGCGGATCCCGCCGCCGCCGCTCAAGGCGCGCCGCCGCGACGGCGCGGCCTTTGGGGACCTCGCGTGCGACGACGTCGCCTTCACCGGCCGCTTCTTCCTCCGCGAGAGCCCGCTCGAGATCGACGACGCCGTCCTCGCCGGAGCCCGCGCGCCGCCGCCGGAGCGCCCGCCCGTCGAGTACGTCGACGCGCCCGTCGAGTACGTCGACGCCCCGGGACGCTCGCCGCCCGTCGAGCCCGTCGAATTCGTCGACGTCCCCGCGGCCGCCGCGGTCGAGTACGTCGACTGCGGAGACAT